AATCACAATTTAAGAGTCAGGCATTGTCTGCTGTAAGAACGTCCTGGCCTTGGTTGGTCATGACCATAAGTGCAGAGAGATGTTTTATTATTTAATTGGTATGGTGTCGCAACTTTGGAATAGCTGAAAACTAATTCTTAAATTGGAAATGTGGCCCTATACTACAAGGCTCCTGGAATATCTTTCCTGAAAACACTTAAATATGACCTTCTTTTTGACATCATACATTTTGGTGCCTGTCTCTGGGTTGGCAGAGTTTTACCCTGGAATGAATTTGGGGTATGTCAGCTGGGTATTCTCTCTTCCTCTTGTACCGTGCTCAATACCTATTGGGGAGCGAGGGGTTTAAAAAACATCCCATTACAAGAAAGCTGGGTTTATATGAGAAAGAAAGAAAATCTGGAGTCATTTGTGACCATCACAGTAAATACACACACACACACACACACACACACACACACACACACACACACACACTTTTTTTTTCATGCTTTGTCCAGTAAAAAAAATGTTCCAAGAAAAGAAAGTTGACTCCTAATTCAAACCAGTATACTATATCTGCAACATTCTATTAATTTTTATGTGGTTTTTCCAAGGTCCTTAAAGAGCAGATGGTAAAGGAGAGAAACTGTGGACACTGAAGTAAGTTTAAATTCCAGATCTTTATTCAAACAGTTCCGAAAGAGGGTCCTTTTTCTTCATTAGTTAAAACACAATACTGTTATGTATGAAAATGAAGATTTTGATACATTTTCTTTTCTCTATTCCACAATATTATTGTATGAGGTATTTTATAGTGAGGATACTGAGATGCATCATCATCATCATCATCATCATTTTGTAAAAGCCAAGCTCATAACAACTACCCTAATCTGACTCAAACGGGGATCAAAAATCTGCTTTGCCATTCAAGTGTGATGACAAGGTAATTGACTTGGTCTCAGCAAAAAATATATCATGACTTGCCTGATCCTATTATATTGTTGTAGTGAGGTTGGGTTTATAAACAACACATGTAAACCTACCTGCTCAGTCCATTTTGTGATGAATGGCACACATCTCTGGAATACCTGGCCAGGTTCAGCGGTTCAGCTGAAAACACTAACCACACCACATGGTCATCAAGACACTCACCATCCGGGAAGTCTACTACGTTCTTCTCTGGCAAAGATGAAACCCCTTAGAGCAAGATTTATATATATATATATATATATATATATATATATATATATATATATATATATATATATATCTCCCATTTTGTATCACTAGCACTTGGCACACAGTATAGAGTAAAAAAAATGTCAGCTAAATGAATCAGGAAGATGAGCATGAATTAAGCTTGCCTTAATTTATTTTTATAAAGGTTTAGTGATATGGTAGATTATTTGCAATATGGCTGCTATAATTCTTCGCTGTGTATGCATGACTCTAGGCTTGGCCACGTGACTTGTCTTGACCAATAGAATGCAGTGGAAGTGATGATGTGTGAACTTGTCTTAAGAGGTCTTGCAGCTTCCTGCTCTAGCACTCTTGGGATCTAGCCACCAGCCCAGATGATCCTGCTGGAGACATGTGGCCTAGCTGACTGGGACCACAAACCTCCAGAGATGTCAGTGGGTGACTGTGGCTTCATAAGTGACCCTCGGTGACATAAGCAGAAGAACTTGCCAGCTGAGCCCAGCCCAAATGGCTGAACAAATAAAGTGGTCATTCCTTTAAGTCACTAGGTTTTAAAGTAGTTTTTTTTATGTAGCAATAGATAACTGACATCTATGAGCTTTTGAAAGCTGAATATTTTCATATATAACACCCATAAAGTGAATAGAACCAGACAATTTAAAAAGTAGAAACCAACTAAAAACAGCCATTTAAAGAACCTTATAGCCGAACACATCTCCACCACATGAGGGAGGTTCTTCAAAGGTAATCAGAAGGGACTGTTCTTATTTTGTTTGTTTTTCTTAGAGGAGTCAGTGATATGAAACGAAATTTGCAGGTCAATCTACGGGCATTTCTTCATAGACTGAGGACACGTGTTTGGTTAGACCTATGTTTTATGTTGTTTGATAATACAGTAAGTGAAAAGAAATCTACTGGTATTGTTTTTCTTTGGAATTTAATTTAGAACAATAATAGTTCCGTGATAATAAACTTGGATTTGATGAGTGGTCATTAGGGAAGAGTGAAAATACAATAAAACATTGGGAGAAAGTCCTTCTGCTCCTGAGGGTACGGAGGGCTCAGACCACTGAGGGGTGTTTGGGTGTAAGAGGAGAGAAGGTTGGACTTACTTGAAACAAGAGTAATAACACACTGACCGGGTATAGGGCAAGGTCATGAGCAGTGGCCACGTGCTAGCAGTCTGAGGGTCTTGTCCTGGCGAGGGAGGAAAAAGGGGTTTCGTATTTTTAAAAGGCTTATAGTTTTTCATAGCCAGATTGCTTAAAGCAGCATAAAATCATTCTTATTATTAAAACTTTGCCAATTTAATATTAAATATAGTGCAATTACCATATTCTTGGCGGTGAGTGAAGCACTTATGCACATCGTCTCAATTTCACAACAGTTTTGTGATGGAAGGAATATTGTCACTATTTTATAGATAAGGAAACCGAGGCCCAGGAAGGTCGAGTAGCTAGGCCAAGGTCACAGTTACTAAAGGATTGACTGAGGACTCAGGCCCAGGCTGTCTCACCCTAGAGAACTTTCACTTAACCACAATGTTAAATTGTTATATTCCTGGAAACTAGAATGTGATGAGAGACCCAGGGAAGAAAAACACCCGAAGAACAGTGACATCAATCCATTATAGAATTGCAAGACATTTAACTAAAAGGTTGTTTTATCCACATCTTTGCTATTGTGCCACCTAAGTCGTCGCAGGTGAAAATATAACTTGTTATGAGGAAGACACTAATTCTTTCTAGTACTTGTTTTTTATTTCAAAATACAAAGTGAAAGGCTTTATTGAAAAATCATTTTTTTTTTTTGCAAACTGAAACAATATTATTTTCAGTTAGGATTTGCCATTGTGTAGAAATACTTTTTGTTCATTGTGTAGACTGTAATCAAGATTGAAACACATTCAAAAATCTGTCCCAGGGAGATTGCTGAAAAGCGCCAACAGATATAAATTCTCTAAGAATGCAATATTACTGTTAGCCATGTTTTCGACTTCCAGTGAATTTGGAAAGACTTTATATCTGAGAAAGCAAATTAAGAAAATAAACCCCCTTTCTACTCTGTTTTCCACTAAGAAAACTCTCCATGTCATACAACATATTCATAATTATTTTTGTAGTTCAACTGCAAGGCATGGTTATTTCCTTAAGAACGTCTGGAGTAGAGAGTCACATAAGCATGGAGAAAATATGGAGTTGTTACAAATGACAGATAAAATGAGCTGAGTGGAAAAGCCTTCCTAATCTCTGTTTATGCAACAGCAAATAAAGTTTTGATATCAGACCAGTTTAGGGTTTATAAGTGATAGTAAAATTGGGGTAGCACTGAGAAGTTTTCACATTCAAAATTCTTTTTGTATTGTTTTTCTATTGTCCACCAAATAGGAAAGAAAGGTTTCCAATCCATAACTGACCAGCTACGAATTGAGGTGCTGATGCCCCTTAATTGAGGCACTCATGCTCCATCCTGAAGCAAATCTCTGCTGTAATAGACGCTAAGATATAGAAGGGATACGATTTATGTTATTAATTAATTGGTTCAGGATGCTGTCCTAACATGCCTTTGATACTATCTACTATCTTTGTAATTTTTTTTTTAATTGTTCACTTGGTGCAAATACAGGCAACTAGGGATAGGAAAAAAAGGACCGAATGCAACTGGGGGCAATTTGAAAAGCTTGCATCATGTAATGAAGTGACATCATATAACTGAAATGGACCAGACGGCTACTCATGCTGTGACCCCTTCAGCTTATTGCAACACAATGACATCATCGCAAGGGGGCTTTCAGTGTCAGGTGTAGCAGGCAGTCCTGCCTGTGGAGAGCTGGCTGACCCAACTTAGTCTCCCGGTTCCTGTCCCAGCTGGCTTACCAATTTTTTCTCAAATTTTGTTTCAGTTTGAGTAATCTTCGCTCACTCTGGATCTAACGGTTAATACTCCTCTCCAGATAAGAGAACATGTTCTAGGTACATCTCCCATCACTTTGGTGATTTTTGGTCAGAGAAGGAAGACAGTAAGCAATTTGAAAAATGGCCTCTTCCAATTCCAAGTTAAGAGAGTGTGAAACTTGGGAGAGAGGAGATGAAAATATAAGATGATAGTTTTTCTCAGCAGCGCGCATGCTGAAATACACAGAAGACCGTGTTCACAGCGCCTGTGGGCGGAGAATCCGCCCTGAGGGCAGCTGGCTAGGCACAAAGCTGAGAGGGCAGCGGCCTCAAAACCCAACTCAGTTTTTTTAAGAACGCAAATCCTTTTCACTGCCTGTGGACAAAATTACTGACTGACATGCTAAACCTATTAAATATGTATTTTGCAAATTTTGAAATGAGGAAAAATGCTATGTAAAAATTTTTACAGATGCTGAATGATTGTAAATGTGGTTAAAGATGTGGGACTTTGTTCTTTCGTGGATTGCTATTAGCTTACATTTGAAATCTCTGTTGGCCACGTATTTCACATTGTTCTTCCAAATGTAATCATTTCTCTCTTTTATCTGATCTCCTACAGTCTCTCTGTTTTCATCAATATCTGACAGCAATTCCCAAAGATCCAGTATAGTCCACTCTAATATCCTTATGTGTACTCTCTTCTCTCTTTGAAATCTAATACCTTAGCAGTGAAATAATTTATTGTGCTTTATTTAGACTTTTATTTTTTGCATGTGTTTTGATACTAACCTTTTGAAAAGAGTTATTTGGAAATTTAAACCAACTGTTCACCAACAGTTATGAAACCATGATTAAGAAATTTTCTCTTTTCTTAAATCCCTTTTTAATCCTTCTTTTTTTTTTTTTTTTTGGTGTGTTAAGGCAAATGCCACACAGACCCTGGGTCTGGCAACAAGGGGAAAATGAAGATGAATACTTACTTCTTGGAGTCCAGCTAACGGGTAAGCCATACAGAGCTCAAATGAGCCAGAAAAATCAGTGACAGTCTTATTTTTCTCGAAAACCCTTAGAGTATCTGGTTGTCAGAACCTGGAGATGTTTAATTCATTGAATGTGACCTGGTGAGATGACGGCCCTAACATACTTGCTAATAAATAAGTGGGAGCTACTTGTTTCCAAATGGCATAGACTGTATTCCTGTTCGTCTCGAGTCCTAAAGAAATGCATTTTGTGAGCACTATCTAAAAAGAAGCTTTTATGGGTACATTACAGTCTAATATGTGCATTGTTAAATTAAAGGGAAAACTTGTTCCAGTGAAGTGGTTGGCAGAAAACCATAAATCTTAATGGATAGGAAAATATGCCTTTCAGTAAAAAGGGAAGAAAGAAACAGACACAGGAAGCGAGCAAGCAAGAAACGCTGCTTAAGCACTCCTTAGGTATCAGGCCTCTGAGCAGCATCTAGCAATATTGATCCTTTTCCAATGTTTATGATCACCCCGCTTGCATATTCCCATTCTCCTCTTTGCTCTTCCCTTTGACTTTAGAAAATTGTCCCTTGGTGGTGCCAAAAATTTGAGGCAAGAATGAAAAATGTTTTGCTGTATTGCTAACCTGTGAAAATGTGTTTTTTTGCCAGTGTTGTGGTGGTTGAGATTTTTTTTTTTTCTTTCTCACATGGCTCTAATCCTGGCTGGATAGATCTTGCTGTGCAAATAAAATTCCACCCTAAATAAGTAAACTATGTTTCTTGGTAGGAGTCTGAAAAACTCGATTTCTTATTTTTCTACTCATGCAAGATGTACTTTCCACTGCTCGTTGCTGAAGTTCATTCCTCACCCCCAAAGTGGATAAACAAAGGGAATATCTGGGTAAAGGAAGTTTCTCCTCTTTAACCAAGATGAGAGAATAAGTGAATTAAGTAGCCTCTGTGGGTGCTTCCTGAGCCCTAAGCAGCCTTAAAATATCTGCAGGATACTCACTCTGTTGATAAAATTTTGTCTATAGAGACCACACCTTATACTACATAGATGTGAGTTACCATATATACTCATCAATAAAAGCTTATTGAGTGTTTTTGGTACTCTGGAATCAAATGTAGGCAAAACAAACAGAGATATCTACTTTCATGGAGCTATTTACATTTGCACAGTGTTCAGCACTTTTAATGAATTGTTCAACCAACCAGAGAATTATTTGACAACGTTGATTGAACCTACATTATGTACCAGAGCTGTGTTACCATGTTAGGTGTTAGGCTTCCAAGACTTGATCCTGACTCTCAAAGAACTCTCATGTGAGTGGTGAAGAAACACATCTAAGCCAATACATACAATAAATTATAGTTGCCATGGTGATGGGGACAGAGTGAGTGCTCAATAGCAGTGGGTCCTGTAATTAGGATAGACAGAGCTTTTTACTCTGACGACGGTATTTCCAATGGCCAATTTTTCTCTAGATCTGTCGCATTATGACTTGTTATTATCCTGATGTGACTTGTGCTTTTCTCATATGCTTACCTGTGCTTTACAAAATTAGCATTGTGAATATTGTTTTTCTATAGCAAGTTTAGTTCATGTTATAAAATTCAAACCCCACCAATTCCAAAATTGTGATGTAGCAGATACTTGCTATAATAATTAAAGATGTAAAGCCGGTCAGTCATGATTCTCATAGACTGAAAAATTAGTTTCTGAAGGACGAAACTACCCTTAACATGTGTATTTTTAGCAGCAGGAAACTCTCATAACCTGGGGTTCAGAGATGGCTTTGTTATGTGAGCACCAGTTCAATACAAACATAGAATAGATTGATGTAATCACGAATGAGTATTCTAAGAAAAAAGTTGATAAATAAGAATGCGATGGCAGTGCTTAAAGAAAACCTATCCTGAAGATACGGATTCTTTTGAAAAAAACTCAGCCAGCATCAGGATATCTTTTTAGCATTCGATAAGTCACTGTGGGAAGCACTGCTTGGCCACGTATGGATTAGGGGCCCCTTCTAGGAGCGATCATGGCACCGCCCTATGTCCTATTTTAGCACTTACCAAGTGGAACTATAATTGCCTGCTTCTATGTCAGCATCTCCCACTAGACTGCATATAATGAGGGAGCCAGTGATATCTATTTGATTCTGGCTGTGCACATAGTAGGTGTTCAGTATTTATTCTTTTTGAATTGACTCACCGCACAGGTTCTGGCCAAATGTTTAACTACCATTCAATTGACTATTATAGCAGTTTTGTGGTGAAGGATTCTAAGATTATTATGACAGGAAATGGGTACTAGACTTTAAAAAGTTGTACTAAGGCATACAACTAAAAAAAAAAAAGTTATTATGACCAAGTGTAGATTTATTGTACTCAAACAGCGCTTACTTAATCTTAACAGTTTACACTTCTGTTGTCTCTGACTCATCTTCATGCCTGGTACACATGCCACTTGAAGGGCCTCACAAAGTCATCTTCCAACTGGGACATCAAGGACTAAATCTGAGATGTTTGCCACATTTGAGGCAAAGGGAATGGACCAAACATTGGCAGGGCAGAAATGTCACCTCCGGTCTCCTTATAAACTGCTAACCTCTCAAGATATGTCCAAGGATAAAAATCAAAACATTTTTCAACAGGGTTCTATTTAGCGGTCACATTCTTGAATACTTCACTTTGTCACTATTTTATCCCCAATCAAATGTAGAACAGGGCCTCAAAGGTTTTCTTTGTTTTTCCTCCTGTGAGATGACAAAACTATTTGTGCTCAACTTAGAGAAACACAACTTATTTTTCCCTTCAACTTTTTGATAAATTAAAAAATTACAGCCTAGAATTTCTTTACCTTCCTTACAACAAAAGTAGTGGATAAAGGCAGAATAAGTAACAATTTGTGTATTAATTTATTGATGCAAAAAGAACTTGTCAAGCACCTACCATGTGGGAGTGAGCAGGAGGAACTGCTGTAGAAAAATGAAGTGGCAAAATGAATACAACAGGATTAACTTTAGAGGTTCACAATCTAATGGAGAGGATGTAGACATACAAGCAAGTAACTATATTACAATGTACTTAGTCAATAAATATTTATTCAGCATCTACTACATACTAGATATGAGGCTAGGCACCAGGGATATAGCAGTGAATACGTCTCAGATTCCTGCCCTCAGGGAGCTTACAATACAAAAAATGATAAAATGCGTCAATAAAGAAGGTGATTAACTCTAGGAAGAAAATGAAGAGGGAGCCGTGATACAGAACGGTCGAGTTTATCATCAGAGAACACGTGGTTTTGAAGAGCCCTGTCATTGGTTACCACGTAGGTTAATACTGGAAGAGTAGCTGTCAGTTGTGCAAAGAAAGAGCTGGGGAAAGGACACTGCAGGCAGGAAGAACTGCTAATACTAAGGGCTCCGGGCGTGATTCAGTTCAAATAAATGTCCTATCCTTGTGTTAAAAAAACTTTCCAGAAACCCTTCAGGCAAAGTAGCAGAGCGAGTGTTTCTTTCCAGATACTTGATTATGTTGAGCGGTCACTCTGCTCTCTTCCACCTTGTGTTAAAATGATTTGTATCCATGCCTGACTTCCCACTGGGCCTCGTTTTCATTCACTGTTGATCCGCGGCGCCTATTGCAATAGCTGGTGTAGGTGTCACAATGTTTTTGCTTTTTTTTCTCATTCTCCTTTCTTCTATCAGGTTAGAACACATACCGGGTGAGAAGAGAAGGGTGGGTGCAGACTCCTTTGCGTAATGCCAATAGAATAATTAACGTAGGCAGTGGGAAAAAAATCGTCTCCCAGATCCCACACCCGGAGGGCAGAATTGGTTTCTCTTCTCTTTCACGCTTCCCCCTATAAAAAGGAACCTATAATAACCTGCGCTGTTGCAGTAGGGAGACATGGGGAGCAGAATTGATAGCCAGCCAAAGAAGGTGGAACCGCAAGGGTGAGAAAGAAAAAGGATATAGAGTAAAGGAGAGGATGGAAAAAGAGATAGGTGATGAATGGTAACAAAGCTTCTCTGTTTATCTTAAAAGGCAGGGAGATGTTTAAGGATGGAAAATTGAGAACCTGAACCCAAATAGAATCTTGGCAATTATCCAAATCCCCAACTTGTATTGAGAGTTTTTTAAATATGTTAAAGTACATAATCCCAGGGTGGAAAGTTGGGCAATGTTATATAGTCTTCTAGAATCTTTGTGTGTTTTATCAACTGCCGGTTTGAATATGTGAACCCCAGATAGCCCTGCTTTTGCCTATCAAATATAAGAGTAACATGATGGATTTGCAAACAGTAGCAGCTCAGTAATTTCTCAGTAAATGTTAAATAAATAAAAGTTAAAAGCAAAAGCTATTTTATTGCTATTCTAATGCTTTTGAATTGTTTGAAATAAAATTAGCTTTATCAATCCAGGATCCTTCAATTGGAAGAAGTACCTGTAGATTGAAGAAGAGAGAAAACCTGCCAGCAACCATTCTCTAATGAAACAAAATAGTTATGCAAACAATTAACTGATTTGGTTAAAAGTTCTAAGTCTTAAAAGCATAAAATAGGGACATACAAAATGTCTACAATGATTTAAATTGTGAGGAAAAAAATTAGGATGTTTCAAGGGTATTTTAATGGGCAGAAAGGTATGGTACTCGTATTAGGAAAATCAGTGATGAATAAAATAATCTTTCACCCCTTTGCAGGGGTTACTTTTCTGAAAAGTGCCATGCCTCATAAATTTTATTTTGCAAGATCAGTGTCCAACAGAAAATTTATGCAAGCCAATAAAAAATGACATTTTATTTTTAATAATTATAGCACCTTAAATATAAAAGTTCAAGAAACTCTGCTTTTAAAACAAACTAAATATTTTTGAATCAAGACAAAATACTGCAGTTGGTACCTAAATCGTGCTGTAGAATAAATTGCTTCCTAGTACCAATAGATAACCACACAAAGCTTGCTCCTCACTCATGGTGTCTACTTGTAATAGCCAAGTAGCTCCTATTGGACTCAC